ATTTTGACTTTTAGGGGAAACCCTACACCCTTTTTTTTTTTTTTTTTTAATGGGGTCCCTCCTAAAATTCCTACCAGACCTTAAGGGTCTGGTATTGTTCGGAAGGGGGAACCACGCTTTTTTTTTTCTTTTTAAATGTAATTTTCTTCTTTACAAATGTCACTTTTTGCTGCAGCAGGTTCTATACATCGTACAGATGTGCCACTTTACAGGCAGTTTAGGGGACCCCCAGGCACGATATTTGAAGGAATTTTTTATTTTTATTGTTTCCCTTTAACCCCTTCATGACTGATGCCTTTTTTTCCTTTTTTGCACCCATGTTATATTCCACATTTTAGGCCTGAAAACATTATATATTTTCTGAATGCCAAGACCCTATAGAATAAAATGGTGGTAGTTGCAAATTTTTATGTTACGCAATATTAGCGCAACTCCTTATTAAACCCCAACATTTAGTGAAAAATTTAATTAAATGCCCCAAAACACAACAAAATACAAATTTTTTAAATGAAAAAAAATATAAAAGAAGGTTACAACGAGTAAAACGATACCCAACATGCCTAGGTTACAAATTGCGTGCGTCCGTGAAACGGCAAAAAACTGAAGTACCCCAAAAAGTCCATAGAAGACGCTTTAAAAGCCCCCACAGGTCATCAATTTAGAGATACCCCAAAATACTGGCCCTACAATTATTGCTCTCACTCCGGCGTGCGCGGCGATACCCAACATGTGTAGCTCGTTCGTTGTTTTCATACGTAGGCGCGTGCTCACGGGGACGGGAGACTTTGACATTTTTTTTATTATTAGATTTATTTTATTTTATTTTAATTCAAAAAACTTTTTTTTTTTTACGATTGTAAAGCCGACAGTCGGCTTTACAAGTTTAAACAGAGTCCCGGCGGCAATAGCCGCTGGGACACTGTTTAAACAGCCCGATGCTGGCGACGTACTGTACATCGTCAGTCACGAAGGGGTTAAGCAATGTTAAAATCACTGCTACTTTAACAACTGCATTTTTTAAAAGTGTTTTTTCTCATTGATTTCCTGTCCACCCACGGCAGTACCCAAATCCCCATATACTTTTTATGGCCAATAACTTGCATATAAGCCTTCAAATTGGGGACATTTTATTTTTCATGGTCCCATAGACTTGCATTGAGTTCGAGTACAAATTCGAACCTTTCCATGTTCAATAGTTTGAATTCGAACTGAATGTGGTGGTGTTCGGCCCATCACTGGTTTACACCTGAAAGTTTTGTCACAAGCTGTAAAACACAGAACGCTGGAAAAGACACATGAGCTTCTTTCAGGCAGATCACAGCATGTTGGGATGTGCGAGGGAAGGACACGTGGAAAACACATGGAAACGCTGACGCCTGGGTGTGAATGGAGACTAAGGATGAGGCTAACTTGCTTTATATAAAAGTGAACTTTGATTAGACCATAAAGAGAGAATGTGAACAAACAAGAAAATAAACTATATACAGCTCTATTCTCATTTGTTGAACCCAAATATACATAGATATGCTTTATTCACTGTATATGTTACTCTTATTTTAACAGGCCGTGAGTGATATCTGGTTCCTAATTTTCAACACTTTAATCTACACTTTCTTCCCAGCACTTTACATGGGGATGCTGGACAAGGTAAGTGGTAGAATGACTATTAAAATATTTTAAAGTTCTATTGCCACAATACTAAATGTGGATACTTACAGTAGTAGCTGATTTAATAAAGGAACAATTTCATCTCTGTGTTCGCATTAAATGTCCAATTGGGTCAAAAAAAAACATGTTCAATTGCAGAAATATAACACAATATCATAATGTAATAAAATCTCACAATTTTTGTATTCCTTAAAAACATGGTTAGATTACAAGTCTATCTATATGCAAGGCTTTTTGTTTTGAATTTTGGATAGAGTTGATAGAGTACACTCTGTCAGGTATTTATAAATGTCTGTGTGACCATTGGAGATATTGTCTTTGTTAGTTTTGGTCATTCGTTCCCCAATCAGAAGGCTGGGGGCAGTGGCAGACGTAAAGAGTAGAGGGCCCTGGTGCAAGATTTTATTTTGGCAGCAGATCTTACTGGCCCCCCACGGCGGTCTCTGCACCAGAGGAGCTTACACTCTAATGTCCCCCCACAGTCTCGCACTATTATTATACAATTTATATAGCTCTGACATATACCACAGTGCTGTACAGAGAACACTGAGCCAGTCACAGTTTATGTACAGAAGAGCTTACACTCTAATGCAGAATTGCACCGGCTGTAGAGGGACTACAAATCTCAGCGATACATTATACAGCAATGCAGAACAGTATATGAATTGGACTCTGAACTGAGCAATGTACTGGACTCTGGACATAGCAACGCACTGAACTCTGGACCTAGCAATGCACTGGACTTAGTCACGCACTGGACTCTGGACTTAGTAACGCACTGGACTCTGGAGTTAGCAACGCACTGGACTCTGGACATAGCAATGCACTAGATACAGCAACACACTGGACTCTGGACTTAGCAACGTACTGGACATAGCAACGCACTGGACTCTGGGCCCACCTGAGGCCCTGCAGAGCCCACTGGAGATCCTGCAGAGCCCACCTGAGACTCCGACCAGCTCACCTGAGACCCCACACAGCCCGCCATAGATTCTGCAGGGTCTCAGGTGGGCTGGTCAGGGTCCCTTTCCCTGCACATGCAGCTCCTTACCTGCCGCTGCTGGTCTCCTCCGCCACCAGACCGGCTCTGCCTGGGCATGGCCTCCTCCCCTGCCCGACCGGTGCTGCTGGGTCCGGCCTCCTCTGCAGCCAACTGGCGGTGCTGGGCCTCCTCCAACTCAACCTCCTCAGTGGAGGGGGAAAGGCAGGAACCAAAATGTATTAAGTGCAATGGAGAACATTGTGGTCACCACCATCACTATGCTGTGTGGCAGGGTTGTCTATATCAGTGGTTCTCAACCTGTGTAATCTCAGGACCCACATTTGTCCTTGGTCATTAAGTCGCGACCCAAGTCGCACTACAATGGAATGCACGGCATTAGGGTACTGCGCTTTCCGGTGAAGGGGTGTTCGAACTGTGGGTGGGAGGCGCGTTTGGGGTGCCATTCAAATGAATGACAACCCAACACACCTCCTACACCAGAATGCACGGTAGGTGCGATTGCGTGGTACAGTGTGTTTAATCTAATGGTACTATGTGATTAATGCACTGTACTAGTGCGGACGGAATGGAGCTCTCAAGGCCAAAGCCCCATCCCACCCCTATCTCAAGCTGACACTTGAATGGCTGCTCGGCAAGAGAACTGACAGTGCAGTGCTAGGGGGAGGCAGAGGAGCCTCTCACCTAGAAAAGTCGAAGGCTTGCAGCGACCCACTGAAAACGGGGTCGCGACCCACTTTTGGGTCACAACCCACCAGTTGCGAACCAAGGGTCTAGACCATAGGACTGGCTAATCAAAATTAGGGTAAACATTTCACGCATACATACAGTCATGTAAAAAAATAATTGGAAACTGTTGACTTTTTCAACATATTTGAACTGGCAAACAATAGATCTTTATACAAACAATGGCTGCTTATAAAGACAATATACTTAAATAAAAACAGAAGAAAAGAATTGCCTTTCTAATAACTTATTCAACAAAAATATCAATAGATGTAGTGTTGTGCAAAAAGTAAGTACACACTTGGTATCAGAAGCGGGTACAGCCCCTTTTAGCAGAAATTACTTCTTCTAAGCATTTTGTATTACTGGTTAGAGCAGTGTTCAGGTGAACATGTAGGAGAACTGTGTTACTGCTTTTATGGATAGCCATGGTTTGGGTCTTCTAGTCCAGAACTGGGTCTTTTAACCCCTTCGTGACTGACGAACCTGTAAGTGAGGCAGCACAATGGCTAGAGGCACATGCATACCAACACTCACAAAGTGTTCCTGGCCTGTCAAGATTGCTTTAACATTCATGTGTTATGAAATAAAGTGATTTAGCTTTAACTATATCAACTGTTATGTCAAAATTGTTATTACAACAATGGCCCAGCAAAAACAGAGACAGCATTGAACAAACTGTAATGCTGTCTTCTTCTTTTATATATAGGATGTGGATAGTAAGACAAGTCTTCATCATCCTCGTCTGTACTTAACTAGCCAGAAGGACACATGTCTTGGTTCCAGGATCTTTGCAAATGCCCTCTATGGTATCTACACTTCATTGGTTATGTTCTTCCTTCCATATTTCGCTTTCTATGATTCTGCCGGACCTGGAGGCATATTTGATCACCAGGTTTTTGTATACACCATGAGCAACATCTACTTCTTTGCAGTTTTGGCAGAGGTAAGAAAACAGACTAGCTTCATGGGGGAAGGAGGGTGGGGGGGTTGAATTAAATATGCACTCAAACAGCTAAATACACAGTTGAAATACATTCATGTTTACTGTCTTGCCCGCCAAACGGTTTGTAATTCAGTAAAGCCAACTTTGTGATTTACACATCTCTGTCACATGGTGCACATTGATAGACTATTTTGCTACTTTCTGGTTCCATTTTGCTACTTTCTGGATTGCCTCTTTGCATATGGACTGAACTGATGTGCTAATTCAATGTCAGCAAACAAGTTGGAGGAGGAGATGTGATGAGAGGCTGAATTGGTGAACCAGAAAATTACTATGTCACCTGTTACTGCTCTGTGTGGAAAATGTGTCAATAGCAAGACTAACTGTGCAAAATTACAAATCTATTGGCAGAAAAAAAATAGAAAACATACATTTAATTAAACTGTCAAGCCTGAGCATGTAGGTCCCTTAAAAGATAACTCAGAGTTGGTTACTCAGTCATGAAGGGGTTAAATACTTTCTTCAGCTCTGTGCACACCAAGGAACACGATGTAACTCAAGTCCATAATGGGGATAGCAGTGCCACAGCCTCGACATTCTATAGGTTGAACTCGATGGACTTGTGTCTTTTCTCAACCTGACAAACTATGTAACTATGTTTTGCCTGCAATTCCAATTAAAGTCAGGTATCATTTTCAAATACATAGTTACATAGTATTTGAGGTTGAATAAAGACACAAGTCCATCAAGTCCAATCTATTGCGTGTGTGCATTTATGTTTGAGCTGGTTTGTGCATGTTTGATTTTGCTCTTAGGCATACCTGTACCCCTGTATGTTATTGTCTCCAAGGAACTCGTCCAGCAGTTTCTTGAATGAATCCACACTCTTAGCTGAAATCACTTCCTGTGGCAGCGAGTTCCAGACTTTGACCGCTCTAACTGTGAAGAACCCCTTGTGCCCTGTGTGTTGAAATTTTTTTTTCCACCAATTTTTGGTTGTGCCCTCTGGTCTTTGTTATGGAGCTAACCGTAAACAGTTTGTTCATAATGTTGCAAGAACGATCCTTCCTAAATCCGTGCTGCACATCACTTATTGTACCCTGATCCCGGCCGAATTCCACTAAGTAGTCCTTAATAATTCCCTCTAACAGTTTACATACTATGCATGTCAGACTAACTGGTCTATAGTTCCCCGGTTGGCATTTTGACCCTTTTTTGAATATAGGTACCACATTAGCCCTTCGCCAGTCGCTTGGTACTCTACCAGCCATTACGGATTCCTTAGAAATGAGGAACAGTGGTCTCGTTATCTCCTTGTTCAGTTCTTTGAGTACCTTGGGATGTAGATTATCGGGTCCTAATGCTTTATTTGCATTTAGTAGTTTAAGCCTATGTTGTATCCCTGTTTCAATCAACCACTGAGGTGTATTTCTTGTTAAATTTTGTGTTTTATCGTGTACATTAAACCAGTCTGTTTCCTCTGTGAATATCGATGAGAAGAAAGTATTTAGCTCCTCGACCCTCTCCCTGTCGTTTGTGAGTAACGACCCATTTATGTCCTTTATTGAGCCTATCTGTTCCTTTCTCCCCTTTTTACTGTTTATGCACTGATAAAAAAATGTGGGGTTCTTTACATTAAAAGGACTCATTCATTTTAACTTATGGAGTGCTGGTGACCTATTTTCTTCAATCTTGAGTTCTTTTTACTAACTTCGGCAATATATTTCTCACATTCAATTTTAGCTGCACGGACTACCAGTTTACATCTTTTGTAGTTTACATTATTTGTAGTTTTGGAATGCCAATACTGTCCCCTCCATTTTATACTTACTAAATGATACTTTTTTTTCCTTAATGTATTGTTTTACTGTTTTATTTAGCCATATTGGCTTTGTTTTTGATCTTTTACTTTTGTTACCCAATGGTAAACACCTGGTAATAGCATTTTTTTTATTTGTTCTTGAAACAGTCCCACTTTTGGTCAAAGTTTAGCTTATCAAATAAGTTTTCCCATTCGATTTCACCCACTATATTGCGTAGTTTATCAAAGTTAGCCTTCCTGAAGTTTAGGCTTTTCGCCCGCCCATCTCCCTTCCCTTTCTTGCACCCAATATTAAAAGCAATCACCTTGTGATCACTATTACCCATTGTTTCCCCGATTACAATATCCTCAATTAACTCCGTATTATTGCTGATGACCAGATCTAGGATGGCATTTTCCCTAGTCGGAACCTCAACCATCTGATCCATGAAATTGTCTTGCAACATATTAAGAAAACGGGCTGCCTTTGCCGATTTGGAAGTTCCATTAGCCCAGTTGATGCTTGGGTAATTGGGTAATTGAAGTCTCCCATTACCACAACATTACTCTGTTCCCCCGCTATTTTTATTTGGGATTGTAGGTGGGCCTCCTCCTCTTCCCCTATATTTGGAGGTTTATAACAGACACCCACAATAAGATTACAGTTAGGGTTAGGGTTCGTTCTATCTAGTTCTAGCCATAACAATTCCACATCATCTCCACCAGCTCACTCGATATCGTCACGGATGTGCATAATGAGGTTATTTTTAGCATATATACATACCCCTCCCCCACTTCTTGCCAGCCTGTCCCTCCGGAACAAGTTGTACCCTTCTATGTTAGTAGCCCAATCATGTGTGCCGTCTAACCATGTTTATGCTATTCATATTATATCATAGTCCTCCTCGAGTAAGATAACTTCAAGGTCTTCTATTTATTTACTAGGCTTCTAGCATTTGCTGAACATACATTGAATTTTTGTACATTTACTGGTTAAAGGTTTGCTCCCCACTACTGATTTTAATTGTTCCTTTTACGGTTGGTCCATTCCTACTTGGATTACCTTGGTCAATTAGATTTACTTTATTGACTACATTTAGTATGCTCTCTATATTGGTTTGATTTACTACTTTGATTATGTTGACTCTGTTGACTGGAGTGAGCCCACTATCTAATCCTGTATTTTTTCCTTCTGTGTTATCTGTCACGATTGGTTGTTTAATATTTAATTTTTTGGTTTTTATTTTACCCTCCCCCCCATTATCTAGTTTGAAAGCTCCTCCAGTCTTTTAACCATTTT